AGAGGGGAGTAACATTGTCAGATCTGTGCTATAGGAAGATCAATTTGGTGGAAGAAACTGGGAAGGGCTGGAAAGAGGAGGCGTTGGAGACTAGATGGGTGGGCTCGAGGGAGGAAGGAAGGGGGGACTAGGGAGAAAAGCAGTCCCCAGATCAGCAGGGGCGTATGGTGGGGAGCCAGGTACAAGGCTGTGCCGGAATGTGACCTGCGGGGGGGCCTGTGGCACTCACTGGGGAAGTGGGATGGGGCGGGTAAGGGGGTGACATAGAAAAAGCCTGTGCTCCTCAGCCCCTCAATGTCCCAGAGTGGTAAAATTAAACCCTCTCTAGATATGCCAATGCGAGTAGGTTTTCAGGTAACGAGAGGATTGTAAATGCGAAACAATGCCAATTACAGCAGCGTTACCCCAGATTATAAAGCTTCTAAGAAGCAGCCCACACCTCCAGGCGAGCTGTGCCTGGAAATTTCCAGGGGAGGCTTGGGATCTAAACATCCAGGCTGCCTGAGGCCAGGCCCCACAGTGGGTGTGGGCAGCTGGGCAGGCCTGGCCCCGTCACTCCTCCTGACCTGCCTTCATTTCCCCAAGGAAATAGACCACTGACGGGCAGGAGGACACTCCTGGGTCCCCACAATTCTGAGCAATATTCTTAAGGAAATTTGTCCCTTCATGGGCCCCCCAGCCGGGGAGGGGGCACAGAGTCCCTCCATGGCTCTTTCTGGCTCCCCCCCGCTGCCCTTTGCCTGCACACAGTTGGAACCAGCCCAGCGCTGCCCCTTCTGTGCTACATGACCTTTAGCTAGTCAGCTTTCCTGAATCACAGTCTCTGCTTTGGTAAAATGCAGAGATAAGCCCCCCCACACACACACACTTCGCAGTGTGTTTTCAGGATTAAATGAGATCTTGTAGATAAAGAGTCTGAACAACAGAAACCAGTGCAACCTCCATGCACGACGATTTGGCAGTGTCCGTTAAAATAGTAAATGTCCACACCCTGGGCCCCAGCGATTTCTTCTCGCCATTTCCTGCAGAGAAAGTTTTGCAGACACGTCCAAGGGTGTTCCCTGCAGCACCTTCTGTGAGGTTAGAAAATCATAAACAACTGAAAGGGGCATTAATAGGGGCCTGATTAAATTAGGATCCATCAGTCCTGTGGAATCCATTGCTGTAATTAAAGAGTCTGGCAGTTCCTGTGTGCTGTCACCGGCAGATCCCCACCACGTGGGACTGCATGAACAAAGCAAGAGCAAATAACACCTACAGATGATTCCATTTAAGCTTTTCAGAACCCCACACAAACACTATATATTTTATGTTTGTCTATGTGCATATATGTATGTAGATGCAATAAGAACAGCCTGGAAGAAAATATGCCCCAATGACCCAGGGTTGCCTCTGGGGAGGGGATTGGGATGGAGGCTGGGAGGTGGCAGGAACATCAAAGAGAATTTCGCTTTGCTGTAGTGTCTACGTGTTTTACTGCAGTACATGCCCGTGTCCCCTGCAGAGATACACACATACAAAACACACGCCAACACCAAGTGCAGAGAATAGTAACGGTTAGCCTGACCCACGCGCCATCAGGGCTCGGAGGCCACAATTCTGACTGCAGGTCAAGGAAGGCACCTAGGAAGGAAGGTGTCTCAGTGCCTCCTGCCACTGTCCGCAGCTCTTAGAGTCTGGATTCAGGTCTGGGGAAGCCCCTCAGGTGGGCAAATGACATCCCCTGGCATGCGGGAGGGATGCACTCTGTTAGCCTGGCTGAGCCAAGGCCACAGCCCGCCTCTCCTGGCTGAGCGTTCTGCCAAGAAAACTCTTGAACTACATAAAAATCCATCCTGGAAATCCGAGAGGCATCCTTAGAATGGAGCGTAGCCTTTCAATTAGAATGGGGGAAAAAAGGCAGATTTGCCTGTAACTTGATTTCAGATGAGTGAGGCCCGGTGGCCAAAATGCAACGACTGCGTCTGGCCACGGCCCCCACGCCAAGGTCCTGCCATGTGCTGTGAAGGGGACCCCAGCCCCACCGAGGTTTCCAGTGTAACCAGCACGTGTTCCCATGGAAACTCTGCCTTGCAGAATCCTTTGGAAATTGTTTCCGAGGAGGGGGAACCGCTTCCCACACCCACTTTGCATTCCTGGGTTTGGTTTCCAGGGATGATTTTCTCCAAGTGCTGAGAGGGGCAGGAGCAGGAGGGAGGGCTGGAGGCTGAGACCTGCCCAAAGGGGCAGAATGGCTATTTCTAAGCTGCTACCCTGGAGAGGCCAGTGGAGGCTGAGCGTGTCAGCAGTGGGTGAGATGTTTCAGATGCCCAGAGGCCTTGAAGAGGGTGGCAGGGGTGTGACCTAGAGATAGTAGGGAATCCCAGGTCAGAGCTAGGGCGGGTCAGGCAGAAAGAAGCATAGGCCGAGACCGTAACATACATGTCCACCCCCTGTGGTGAGGCTGGGGTCCAGACAGCAGGAAGCAGTGCCCGAGGCCTGGCCATCACGGGCTGCCAGGGGCTTCTGCTACAAGCTCCAGGGCCAGGGGTCCACCCTCAGGATGGCTGCCATCCACCCTGCTGGTCTAAGGCCCCCCTTCACCTGGGTCTCACCTGTTGCTCGTCAGCCTGCAGGGGGCCAAAGAGGGGGGTCCCCACCTCCAGGGAGGCCTGCCCCTCATTTAGCATATTCCCTCCACACTGCCCAGCGGCAGCCTGTTTTTCCTGAAGGATGAGTGGAGTAGGAAACACACACCCGCTGAGACTCTGCAGGGCGGGGAGTTCCCCATCTGTCCTCTCTGAGTAACACTCAGCGTCTTGATTGTCACTGAAGCCAAGGCTCAGGTGGACATGGCTTCTGGGAGGTGGAGCTGGGATTCGAGAGACGTCAGCGGCCACCCAGCCCCAGATGACCCCCAAGGGCAGTTCCTCTCTCTTCTCTCCTCTGCCCACTCAGAGTCCACGCAAACCTGCCCTCCAGGAGTTCAGTTTGAGGCCCCCTCTGCCCCCTCCTCCTCCCTCGTGGCCACCTGCACCCCCCCTGCAGTCGTCTGCCACCCCTCACTCCTGCACCAGCCCATCTCTGCAGGCTCCCAGTCCTGGGGGCTGGGGAAGGAGGGGTGCTTAGTCTTCTTGGCTCCGTGCTGGGCGTCCCAGAACGTTCTCCTCTGGGGGTCCCCCCTTCCACCTCGACCCTCCTCCCTGCCTCTCTCCTTGCTCGCTGAAGACCTCAGCGCCTGCCCAGCCTTGCCCTGAACTGAGCTCGGTCACCACACTTGACAACGTCTGTGTCCACAAGAGGGGCGATGAGTCGGTCCCTGAGGGCCTCACAGGCCGCAGGGAAGAGTTGGGATTTGTTCCAAGTGAGGTGGGAACGTTGGGGGCTTTTGCACACGGGGAGGGCCATGGTCCTGTGTAGCTCTCATCAGGATCCTTTGTCTGCTTCGTGGAGAGGCGGCTGCAGGGGGCTGGGCCATGGCAGGGGGTGCAGTCTCTCCAGGCTCCCCGCACTACCCCAGGGGCCAACTGGAAAAGGATGATTACCAGCCTGAGGGTCCGGGGCCAGGGTCTGAGGACGCTCCGGGGCCCAGCGAGGCGGCCTCCTCCTGTCTTGCTGCCTTTGGTCTTCCCTGGAGAGGCTTCGCTGCACGCCTCCCTCACCCGGACCCCAGCCCCGGCCTCTGCCTCAGGCTGACGGAGTCAGGGGCCTGGAAGGCAGCTTCGCCTCCCTAAACAGGTTAGGAGTTCGTTCAACTGCCTCTGGCGAGCGGGGGCCTCTCCCCGCAGCCCTGTGTTCCCGCTCAGAGCCCTCCGTGCCGTGTGCTCCAAGGCCAGGCTCAGAACCAAGCTGAGACGCTGTGAACCATCCCGCGGGCTCGAGGGGGCCCCACACAGCCCTAGCGGAGGGGCTGGGGCTTCTTCCTGACGTCAGCCCAGGCCCACCCTGCCGGCCCCAGCCCTTACCCTGCGGGGCGGCCGACCTGCAGGGCTGAAGGTGCTACCCACAGACCAGCCGGGGGTCTGGCCGGGGCCTGCGCCTCTGGCCACGACCCTCCCGGGCACATTGGGGTGTGTGTGCGAGGGCACCTGAGAGACCTCTGGGGACAGCACTGGGTGTGTGTGGAGGGAGGACTGGCCTGCCCATTGCACAAATGACCAAATAGTGGAAAGCAAGGGAGGGATGGGGGACAGCAGGGGAGGGAGGGCTCAGAGCCTGACAGCCTGGGTGAGCCCACCCTTAGCCCTGGTCTGCCTGTGAGGTAGGTTACAGTGCGGGGCTGCCGTGAGGTGAAATGAGGGGTAACGTGAACACTCGAGCAGCAGAAATGGCTCAGGTCAGACGCTGAGGGGCCGTGGGTCCTGAGCTTCTGCAGCAAAAAGGGACCCCTCCGCCCACCCCAGGGGAAGGCCCAAGAACAGAGCCAGGCAGCTGGACCACAACGGAGAGGGCTGGCCTCCAGGCAGCTGGCACTGGCCGGGGGCAAGGAGGGAAGGGACTGGGCTGGACTCGGGGCTGGGGCATAAGGCAGACAAAGACAGAGGAGGTGGGAAGGGTCGAGATAGGCCAGGTGGAGGGAAACAACCTTGGGGTCCTTGCTGGGGGAGGCGGAGAGCTCCCTGCGTGTGCCCGGACCCTCACAGTCCCAGGCCCCCAGAATGACGGCCACCACTGAGCCGCCTCCCCGGCCTCCAGCTCTGTCCCTGAGCCCAGCCCAGCCGCTGCATGGTTCATTCTTGCCCACGCCCCATACCCCCCACGCCATCCCCCTGATCTACTTTGTGTGGTCGCCTTATGCCTTTGGCCTAGTTAGGCGGGGGGCGGGGAGGCGGGGGCCATTTGCCTAGTTGCTCCTTTATTCATCTACGCTGGGACCCCTGTGCACACAGTACTGACAAGGGTCCCTGGCTGGAACCTCCTGGTGGCTCAGGCTGGTGCAAGAGGGCCCGTGTGTCTAGAGAGGGTAAGAAGGGCTCTGGGTGGTGTTCAGGAGAGCCCTTGGGGAGGGAGCGAGGGCCCACCTGGCAGAGGGAACAGCTTGGGCAAAGGTCCGGAGATGTGGCACACTCGGCGGGTGTGGCCGGGCTGCAGAATGGGGTGTGGGGCCAGCCAAGGCAACAGAGCACCCTCTTAAATGTGGTGGTGAGGTGATGGGGCACTCCTGGGGCCTCACTCCTGAGTACAGATCAAGTCCTTTGGAGGGAGAGGCTGCCCCAGGGCCTCTGATCCAGGGCAAGACCCATGGGCAGGCAGAGCTTGTCCTAGAGATTTTCATAGACCAGGTTACATTCACTGTCACCCTCAAATCTATGTTGTTTCTCCTGGAAAAAAATAAAAAAGAAATAAAAAGCAGTAGGGAGGGAAAAGAACACACTTGCACAACTTTAGTTTTAGGCAGAAGCAGACAAACAGGTGGCTTCCCAAGGAGCTCTGACAGGGAGACGTGTCCTTGCACCCAAGCCCGCCGCACCAGCCTCTTCTCCCATAATTCCAGCCCATGCCTGCTGTCCGCCCTCCAACCCCACAGGCCTCTCCTTTCCTGCCTTGGGCCTCCCCTGGTGCTCTTCCCTCTGCCTGGCGTGCTCCCGCCATCCTACCTGTTCCCTGGCTACCTCCTCCTCACTCTGCACCCCCGAGAGCCCCCTTCCCAGCTCTGGCCTAGTCCCTCCCCAGAGCCCACCCTTCACAGGGGGCTACAAATGTGTCTGTGTGTTTGTAAGATCAGTGACCCTGTTCCTGCAGACCCAAGGATCCTGGAGGGCCGGAACATTTCTAGTCATCCTGCCAGGACTTCAGGGCCTGGCACGTGGTGGGCACTGCCTGGGACGACCCAGACATCCTTGGGGAAGCCCTGCCTCCAATCAGAGCCTCGTTCAGGGATGAGTATACAAAGGGCTTTGAGAACAGGAGATTCAACAGAGTCAGCCTGGGCCAGCGGGGCCAAGCACTTGCTCCCCTCACTTCCTGATGGCTTTTCCAAGGTGCCTACACCCACAGCCCTCGAGCTCCTGAATCCAACCTTGCACTTGATGGTGTCCAAAGCTCTGGTGTAGATGCTACTTAACTTGGAACCCATTTGAATTCAGGGGCAGTTGATTTTGCAGTAAAGTGTCACTCATCCACTTTACAGATGAGCAGACTGAGGTTTAAGAGAGAATCATGATCGGGACTTCCCTGGTGGCTCAGTGGTTAAGAACCCACCGGCCAGTGCAGGGGACACGGGTGTGAGCCCTGGTCCGGGAAGATCCCACATGCTGCGGAGTAACTAAGCCCGTGAGCCACAACTACTGAGCCTGTGTGCCACACTACTGAAGCCCACGCTCCTGGAGCCCGTGCTCCGCAACAAGAGAAGCCACCGCAGTGGGAAGCCTGCGCACTGCAATGAAGAGTAGCCCCCGCTCGCTGCAACTAGAGAAAGCCCGCGCACAGCAACGAAGACCCATCGCATCCATAAATAAATGTATTAGAAAGAGAGAGAGAGAGACAGAATCATGATCAAGTGATATGCCTTAGTCCCCATCGTGATAATAACAAAGCCCTGTCCAGACCCTCCCAGGCTGGCATCAGTGTAGACTCCAGCTCCCGGCTTTAGCCACCTTCAGCCTGGGGAGAGCTAGAAGCCAAACACCCCTGCTTTACTGGCCAGTGTAGACACTATACCGTGCTCAGTGGTAGTTACGATCGCTCATCTTGCACGGCGCCTACGGGGTCCCAGTACAACATTTGATCCTCATGGCAAATCTAGGAGGTGAGTGCTGTTAGGCTCCTCAGTTTACAGCCGAGGAGAAGCAGGCACAGAGGTTAGCCCCTTGGCCAGGGCTGCACAGCTGGTAAGGGGTGGAGCAGGGGTTCAAATCTACCAGACCTCCTAACCACTAGGCCAGCTGCCTTGGAGAGAGGGCTCTGATTCAGCAGCAGGTGGCTCACTCCTCTGGTCCTATTTACCCATTTCCCAGATGAGGAACAGGACAAATGGAGTAAGACGAGGCTCGCTGCCCAGCCCCTGCGTACCTGGGAGAGCAGGTCCTGGTTGGAGGGCGGGCTGCTGGCCTCACTCTGGATGCAGTCGTAGACCTCAGTCTCTCGGCGCTGCAGGTCCTGCAAGAGACGTGGGAGGGTCAGAGAAAGATGAACAGAGGGGCAGGGCCCTGGCCGCAGCGGCCTGCTATACCTCCCCGCCACCCGAGGGAGCCCAGGGGCCGGGCAGACCTGTGAGAGGACACCCACCACCCCCAGCCTCGCCACTCGCAGTCGCACGGCTGCACCTGTGCACCTGCCGTTCCCTCTCGGAGCCATCTTACCCCTTCCCTGCTGGTACAGTGCCACTCCTCTCTGTGCCCCTTGCCAGGCCCTCACATCACCTCAAGACTCTAGCAGAGCCTGTGCTCAGCCCGGTGGGCTCTCCAGGCCCCCAGGTAGCTGGCAAGAGGAAGGGCCCAGGCCCCCTCCCACCGTCCCTGCCTGTCCTTAGGTCCTTTGGTGCAGCCACCAGCCCCCAGATGTGACTCCCATGGCCAAGGCTTCAATAGGATGCTCTCCTGGCATCCCCCCCTCACTCCCCTGGGCCAAAGCCCTGGCCCTGTGAGGGTCCCACCCACGCATCCACCCCTGTAGGTCTCCCTTCACCCCTCACCCCAGCCTGTGCTCACAGATGACCTAGGTACCCACTGGAGTCACACTCCTTTCTCACAGCTGTGCTTGGTTTGTTGCTGGGTCACTGTACCTGCGGTTGGCACACTTGAAGAACAGCACCAAATGAGCTATGATGAGGGGGCTCCTCGCTCAGCTAGATGTGTGTCTTAGGGCCACACTCACTCTTGGCCCCGCTATGAACAGCCTGACCAGAGGCCTCAGGATGGTAGAAAGAGACGGAGCTTTGAAATCAGACAAGCCTAGGTTCAACTCTCAGCTCTGACACCTGCCAGCTATGGGCAACCCTGGAACCTCCCTGTGCCTCAGTTTCCTCATCTGTAAAATGGGAATAATTGTATCTCTCTTTCAGGCTCAATGGATGATTAAATGAGATATTGTACATAAAGGGCCCAACAGAGGGTCTGGCGAATCACAGACACAGAATCTGCTTAATAACTGTTGAATGGTCATCAAGGGAAGCTTGATGCCTCCCTTCCCTCTCTGCGGTCACAGTCTGGACCCTTCCTCAGACCCTGATGGGCACCGGGGCCCCAGGCAAGGAGCAGATACTGCTCCTTGGGGGATGTCGGGACAGAGCTACCAACAGCCTAAGCAAGAGGCAGGAACCTTTCCTTCCCACGTGTACATGTCATATGGATGCCGGCTGCTTGCCAAGGAGGTGGTTTCCCTGGCAACAGGCAAGCAGGGGTTGCCGAGGCAGGCTGGAGAGACAGGTGGTGCTCTGAGGCAAGAGAAGGGAGGGGAGGTGGGGTGGGGGGAAGGAGGCTCCGAGAGGCAGCGGGGCATGAAAACCTGTGTAATAAACCATTTGGCACTTGGGAGACCCTCACTTCAAGGGCATCACACACAGGGATGGCAAGGCTGCCCTAGGGACCTCTGCGTCAGAAAGAGGGAGGGTCAGGACTTCTGTGGTGGCACAGTGGTTAAGAATCCACCTGCCAGTACAGGGGACACAGGTTCAAGCCCTGGTCCGGGAAGATCCCACATGCTGCGGAGCAACTAAGCCCGTGCGCCACAACTACTGAGCCTGCGCTCTAGAGCCCGCGAGCCACAACTACTGAGCCCGCGTGCCACAACTACTGAGGCCCGCGCGCCTAGAGCCTGTGCTCCACCACGAGAAGCCACCGCAACGAGAAGCCCACGCACCACAACCAAGAGTAGCCCCTGCTCGCCGCAACTAGAGAAAAAGCCCGCATGCAGCAATGAAGACCCAACGCAGCCAAAAATAAATTAAAATTTAAAAAAAAAAGAAAAAGAAAGAGGGAGGGTCTTGGAAGGGGTGCTTCCAACCCGCCTCTGGGTAAGGAAGGGGGCAAGGCTGTCCCAGGGAGGAGCCCAAATTCCGGTGAAAGGCATTTTCCAAGGCCTGCTCTGGCCTGTTGGGCTTTCATGCCTGCCCAGAGCACCAACCACTGCCGGCAAGCCTGGCACACGGGATGGGAATCTGCTCCTCAGCAGCCCTGGGCCTCCACCGCCTGTCCGCCCAGACCTGGATCCACAGATCTGACAGCCCCCCAAGCTGAATGTTTCTGGTCACAGAGCGAAGGGAGAAAAAGGGCCTCCTGGCTGACACGTCAGCAAGAGAGCAGATCTCGGGTCCCACAGATGGTTCCCTTCTCCCTTGTGTCCAGTCCACGCGGGCTGCCCACCACGCATTAGCCCAGAGAGGCCCAGAGATGTCTCAGGTCACACAGCCCCTCCCGCCCTTCGCTCCGTGTGCTCCCACTGGCCTGGGCACACAGCTAAGTGATTTCCCAGCCAGGGAAGAGCATCCTGACCGGGGACCATACAGGCCTGGGCCCCACACTGCGGGGGTCATGCTGTGGGTGGGAGCAGCTGCAGGGCTGAGGGCAGGGAAGGCTGCAGAGGTTGCTGCCAATTAGCAGCTGCTGAGTGAAGCCTCTGACAAGTCCTGACCTGCCGGGCTGCGTTCGCATGCAGCGAGTGACCTGCATCACTAGGCTGTGAAATGCAGGGCAGCCTTGTCAACAGGATACCTTCCTGGTCTTGCTTGCTGCTGATGGGGACTCTGCCTCCCACAGGGCACGCCTGCGGGGAGTAGGCCAGGCCTCTGAACGGGCTGGGCTTGGCTGGGCTGTACTGGGATCCAGGCCCTCTGACCCCTTTGTCTCCTGCTGCCCAGTATGGGCAGTGATGCTGGGCCGAGTGGTCACCAGCCCTGGCAGAGGCGTGAAGTCCGTGCCAAGGCCTTTGTCCAGGTGGGCTGAGGCCAGAACCGAAGTCAGCTGCCCTGGGCCAGGACCTAATCTGAGGGTCCTGGACATTGGTCCCCCTGTAATACCCACCCCTGTCACCAAGGACACACGAGACCTGTGGTCTCACGGACACCTGCATGTTGAGGTTTGCGTGATGCCCTCTGTGGGGCAGACGGCTGAGACCTGGGGGCCTTGTTCAGCAAGGAGTGGTACTCAGGAGGGACGGAGCACCTCTGCTCTAGGTCAAGGTCCTGGCGTGTGTGAAGTAAACGGCCCACGGCAGTGACAGGAGTCTGGTGAGGCAGGGCTGGGTTTGGCCTCCAATGAAGGCCTCTCGTGCCAGGCTGAGGAGCTGGCAATGGGGAGACCCTGGAGGTTTCTGAGTGGGAAGCGACAGCATCAGTGGTGTGTCGGAAAGGCCCCTCCTGCTGCCATGAGGCGTGGGAGGGCTGGAGGCTGACAGCAAGAATGAGGCGCTGGGCCAGGCAGAGGCTGGAACACAGCTGGGGGCATGGGGCGGTGTCCAGATGCTTCTGGGGAGCATGAAACTACAATGCTGATGCCCCACATTCGCCATGGAGCACCTACTCTGTATCCAGCACCGAGCCCCAGGGAACCCCAGCCAGCTGGGAGCCAAGAACAGGCCTCCACTCAGCTGATCGCTGAGCACCTACTATGTGCCAGGCACTGGGCTGGTGCGGGAGAGGGCACCAGGCAGACCACGATCAGAAAGAAATCGGTGGCCGTAAGGGCCACGGAGAGACCCAGAGAAGGAAGATGGGGATGTTGGCTCATGGAGAGGGTGGGGAGGTCAGAAAGGCCTCCCTGCAAAGGTGCCCTCTGAGCAGAGAGCTGGGGAGTGAGACAGCAGCCCCTGGACGGCTCCAGAAAGGACACTGTGGAGGGGAGGGTGCAGCCAACACCAAGGCCCCCCTGCGGGGTGGGCATGGGGGGCAAGCCTCGTGCATCTGGAGAACATCAAGGAGGCCAGTGTGCCTGGAGCGAGTGAGTGAGGGGAGAGATGGTGGGAGGGCCTGTGGGCAGAGCTCTCAGACACCACTGTCAGGGCTCTGGCGTTGACTCTGAGTGAGACAGAATCTATCTCACTAGACGGCCGAGGCGGTCATGAGAACGTGATCCGCAGACCTCCAACTCCAGGCAGGGATCAGCATCGATCTGGGGCCCCAGCTGCTGGTCTCTGAAACCCATCATTACATATGCACAGAGGGCCCCCACCCCCACGGGCTACCGCCAGCCAATGGCTGAGCTCAGCAGGGATGCCGTCACAGCCTCCCACCCTGGGAAACCTGCGACTCCTCTGACTGGGCTCCCCATGGCCTGCTGAAGCTTCCCTAGATGGTGCGGTGGTCGGTGCATCCTCTCTGCCTTCCTTCACCCTCTCCTTTACCCAGGATGAGATCTGCAAGAGTCTGACGACTCTCCCAGTCTTCTCCATTTTCTCTCACAGGTGGTTTCCCTAATAAAACTATCACACATTTACCCCCGTCTTGGTGTCTGCTTCTCGGGGGACCTAGACTCACCAAGGGCTCTGAGCAGAGCGGTATGTGATCTATGTTTGGACGGGATCACTCTGCTGCTGCTGGGTGGGGCACAGACGGTGGGGCAAGGATAATAATGGGCCAACTGATTAGAAACCAATTGCAGGACTCCAGGCACGAAATGGTGGTGGCTCCCACCAGCGTCAGCCCTGGAGGGGTGAGAAGGGTTATATTCTGGATATGTTCGCAGTAAGATGTGCTGATGGATCCGATGTGAGCAGTGATGGAAGGAGAGAAGGAAAGGGCAATTTCAAAATGTTTAGCCTGAGCATCAGGGAGGCTGGAGCAACCATTCACTGCATGAGGAGGACTGTGGGAAGAGGCACTTCGATGGGTAAAGAACTGGAGACTGGTCCGAGAGAGAAGCCGATAAGGGGTCCAAATGCAGTTGCTTCTGGTGTTCAGAGGAGGTGCCTGGGCTGGACGTATAAATTTGGGAGTTGTCAGAGTGTAGAGGGTCTCAAAACCTTGAGGCTCCTTCACTCCCAAGGAGGGGAGTGAAGATCAAAGAGAAAGGGCCCCAGGTCTGGACTCTAAGGTTTAGAGGTCAGGATTTCTCTGGTTCCCAAGAAGGAACCAGGGATGCAGGCTGAGGAGGCATGGTAGTGAGTCAGAGGGGCATTAGGAGAGAGTGGAATGTTCTGGAAGCAAGTAAAGAAAGTGTGTCTAGGAGGAGGGAGAGCTCGCTGGTGTCACATGTTGCTGCTCATCAGGAAAGATGAAGACTGGGAACTGACCACGGGGTTTAACAATGTGGAGGTCAATGGTGACCTTGAGAAGGAAGGCTTTGGGGGGCAGAAAGAAGAGGTGTGCAGAAAGCCTGACTGAGTGGGTCGGAAAGGAGAGAGAGAAACTGAAGACAGGGAATTTTGACAGATCTGTTATAAGGAGTCGTCGAGAAAGGACAGGGTCACTGGAGGTGGCTGTGAGCTCAAGATAAGGAATTTAAAATGGAAGAAATCATAGCAGGTTTGCAAACTGTAAATGTGATATTGTATCATTAGCCCTATATTAAAGGTTATGAAACCAAGACTCAGAAAGTTTAAGTAGCAGAACCCGTGAGCAAAAGGACTAGGCCTTGAACCCCAGCCTGTCTGGCTTACTCCAAATCCATGCTCCTTAATAGGTCAACTTGGGCTTCCCTGGTGGCGCAGCGGTTGAGAGTCCGCCTGCCGATGCAGGGGACACGGGTTTCATGCCCCGGTCCGGGAGGATCCCACATGCCGTGTAGCGACTAGGCCCGTGAGCCATGGCCGCTGAGCCTGCGCATCCCAAGCCTGTGCTCCGCAACGGGAGAGGCCACAACAGTGAGAGGCCCGTGTACCGCAAAAAAAAAAAAGAAGAAAAAAAAAAAAGGTCAACTTTTCACACACAAAAAAACTGGAGTAGTACAGCTTATTTTTCCTGTCACAATATATCATGAGCATTTTTCCACATGAATAAAAAGCAAAAATTGACATAATCAGAAGGAGAAATATACAATCTACAAGCAAATGGGCAGATTTTAACTCAATTCACTCAACATCTGAGAGACAAAATAATCAATAAGGATATGGCATACTTCAGCAACACAATCAATAAACTTGACCTCACTGACACATATAGAACGCTCACTCAGCCATGCACAATGCACACGAAATATAAGCCAACAATAAAGCAAGTCTCAAAAGACTTCGAAGGATTAAAATCCTACTGAATGTGTTCTCTGATCACAGTGGAATTCGTGAGAGACAAAAAACAGAATGATAATTAAAAAGCAAATGTTTGAAAATTAAGCAAAAGACTTTTAAATAACTCTTGGGGCAAGTGGGAAATTTAAACTGAAAGACGACAAAACTATGACATATCAACACTTGTGGGATACAACTAAAGGCGTACTTAAAGGGACGTTCATAGCCTTAAGTGCATAAATTAGGAAAAAAGAAAGATTGAAAATCAGTGATCTAAGTATCCATCCAAAGAAAGTAGAGGAGAAGTATACAAAAATCCTTCCCTGGGCTTCCCTGGTGGCGCAGTGGTTGGGAATCCGCCTGCCGATGCAGGGGACACGGGTTCGTGCCCCGGTCCGGGAAGATCCCACATGCCGCGGAGCGGCTGGGCCCACGAGCCATGGCCGCTGAGCCCTGCGCGTCCGGAGCCTGTGCTCCGCAACGGGAGAGGCCACAACAGTGAGAGGTCCGCGTATCGCAAAAAAAAATCCTTCCCTGGATGTTGTCCACTGTCACCACTCTTGTTCACCATCACTGTCTGAGGCAGTGCGATAAAACAAAATAAAAAGAAATAAAAGGTATGAAGATTAAAAAGGAAGAAATGAAACTTCCACTATTCATAGATGACATGACTAGGTTCATAGAAAATCCAAAGGAACTTACAAAGAAACTATTAGAATTAATTAGTGAATTCATCAAGGTTACTCTCTATATAAAGTCAATATACAAAAATCAATCGTATTTCTACATACCAGCAATAGACAGTTAGAAAATAAAATTAGGGACTCCCCTGGTGGTCCAGTGGGTAAGACTCCACACTCCTAATGCAGGGGGCCCAGGTTTGATCACTAGTCGGGGAACTAGATCTCACATGCATGCCACAACTAATAAGCCCTCATGCCGCAACTAAGGAGTCCGCGTGCCGCAAATAAGAAGCCTGCATGCTGCAACTAAGACCCAGCACAGCCAAAAATAAATGAATAAATTTTTTAAAAAAGAAAATTAAATTAAAATGGGGACAACACCTGTACCCTGAAGCCCTATTATGAGTATTAATGACATAACAGGTATAAAATCCTACAACGGTACCTGGCACGTAGTAGGTACTCAACAAATGACTTCGTGACATCATCATCACTCTTGTTAACGTCATTCTTACCTGCCCAGGTCCAACCCCAGCAGCTAGGGACTGGTCTCAAGGGCTAGCAGAGTCTGAGGCCTCCCTTCACATCTCCTTTCCAGGCCTAAAACCTTTTGAAGCCACCCTGCAACCTGGCAGGGCCTCTGGGCCTCTTCCTCACACTCCAGAGAAGTCTAAACACAGGCAAGAAAGATGTTCCGTGCAAAAGTGAGTCTCTTCCATTAAAAGTAATCTTGGAGAAGTACATTTATTCATGTGAAAAGATGTTCATGAGATATTGTAACATGAACAAAAATAGCTGTACTACTCCAATTTTTTTAAAAAAGTATGTGTGAGTGTGTGTATGGGTCTCTTTGTATGTAAACTGGAAGGTACAGAGGTCAATGTTACTAGTGTTTATACTGGAAGAAGATAGGCTTAGGATGATGGTTATTTTCTTCTTTTTGATATAGAAAGATAGATCTCGTGTGTGTGTGTGTGTGTGTGTGTGTGTGTGTGTGTGTGTGTGTGTACGGAGAGAGAGAAATGTTTTCATTTAACAGTTGACACCAGAATTCCTCCTAGGGAAAATACCACGATGAGTTGCTGGGAGAGAAGAGAGAATATGGGGAAGTCTGGGGCCACGTGGGAAGCAGTGGCTGCTGGAAATTCCCTGGGGTGGAGGGGCTGAAGGCCCCATGAGAGCTGGCCGTGTTACGTTCTGTTTGGGGTTATGGGTGCTGCCCTGTAGGAACGCTGCCTTTGCCTCGTCCCCATCTGCCTCATCCTCAGTAAACCGGACCATATTCTGAGCACCCTCTGCATGGGATTTTACGGACATCGAGGAAGGACCTGAGTTTCATGTATGAGTCAGGGTGGTGGGGACAGGAACAGCTACAGCACATACAGGCAGAGTCCCGGAACATGCCCTTGGAGGACCTGCAGGACCCACACATGGCTGTGCACCTCCCAGGTGCGGAGTCAAGACCGCTACCTGGCGGCTGGAGGCCCCGTGGTGTTGAGACCCCAGCTGACACTGGGTGGCATTTATTCTTCCCTTTCTCCACGAGCATATGTTACTTGTTCAACTAAAATAGACGTAACTGAAAAAAGAATGTCTGTCACCATCCCAGCCACCGGGCAGAGTGACCACGTGTTGACCAGATGGGCAAGCCGGGCTGGGGGAGCGAACAGCATCTCAGCCGTGTCTCTGCTTGACTGTAAGGACATAAAACAGTGTGTGTGTGTGTGTGTGTGTGTGTGTGTGTGTGTGTGTGTGTGTGTGTGCTGGGGAAGGGGGGTGTGAAGAATTGAAAATCGTTGGTGTGTTAAGGGCGTGGGACACTGCCTGACTCTTTCCTCTTTTTGTGATTCTTGTTGCTGTTGGTCCGATGCTGTTTGTGCAATAAAAACAGGAAGGAGTTCGTGAGCGGGTCAACGTCATTTGGTCAGATGAAGGGACTTTCTTCATTCCTCAGCAACTGTTCCCTCACTGCCCCTCATTCCAGAAGTGGAGGGGCACGCCAAGGAGGGGACCCCAGTGGCACCTCACACCTACACTCCTTCCAGGGCCCAGGGCCACACACTTGTCACCTCGGTTCACCTTCACGGAAATCCCTCCAGGCAGGAATTCTTACCCCCAGTTTACAGGTGAGGAAGTATAGGCTCACAGAGAGGTCACACAGCCGGTACACTGGCCGAGCCAGGGAACCAGACCCCGAGCCAGGCCTCGGAGGGCGGAGGACTCACTGTGTAGATGGATTCGGGTGGAGGCTGCTCCCGGCTGCTGGCAGCGCTGGGGCCCGGGCACTTCTGGGCAGTGTGCTTCTGTGGAGCCTGCATCTGTCTCTGTGGGGAAAGGAGTCAGGGCTGGGGGCCAGAGGCTCTCTTCCTTCCCACCCCCGACCAGGCCCCACCAGAGGAAAGGATGGCAGGTTGTCATGAGGCCACTCAGAAGTGCATCACTCAGCACCTTCCATCCACCCTCTCCAGGGAAACGGGGCAAGTACCTGCAAAGACCTACATCAAACCACTCATCTGCCCGGGGACACCGGAAACGATAAAGATCCCAGCGAGGCAACTGCCCACCACCCAGTGCCAGAGCACAGTGCCAGCAGTGTGACAGGGTCCCCGGCTGCAGCCGATTACTGTGGGTGTTGCTGAGTGAGCCAGCGCGCAGGCCAGACCAGGTGTCCAGTCCCTCTCTGCCCCTCGCTGGCTCTGCGGCCTCACTCAAGCACTTACTCTCTCTGGACCTCAGTTTCTCCAGCCATCACCCTCCTTTGTGAGATTGCTGCACAGATTCAGGGAGGTGATGAGGGAGTCAAGCACTCTTGACACTCGTGGACCACTTATGTGGCCCTTGGCCAACCACACACACTCTGGTTAGCCAGGCGGTGTGGAGAAGGGGACACCACCCCTGCCCTCCCGGAGTTTAAGACCTGGTGGGGAGACGGACAATGACCCAGCAGTTTTACCACGTGTGGTTCATGCGCTGACCGACGGGGACAGAGCTCCTGGCACACGGGAGGGAAAAAACGCCTCGCCTGGCAGGGAAGCTGAGAGGAAGGCTGTTTAAGGCTGAGAAATTCGTTTGGAAGAGAGGGAGGGGAGGCAGAGGGAGCAGGTCTGGAAGAATTTAAAGACGGTCAGCGTGGCCCGAGAGGCGAACCTGCCCTGGTTGCGTCAGGACGGCCATGCTGGGCTTCGAGAAGAGGGTGGACGGTGGAAAACATCTGAGGGCTTTAACCAGGAGGCGCCAGGGTCAGAAAGTGGTTGCAGGAAGCTCACGCTGGGTGCTACGTGAAGCGCTAATGGTCGTGGAGGCCGGGGCAGTGGGCCTTTGGGAGGGTGAGGGCTCAGCTCCTTCCAAGTCAGAGGGAGGCTGTCCGGACGCCCCCCTCATCTCAGGCACACCACACTGCCAAAAGTGAAGCAACACAGCCTCATCTCGGGGCAGGACCTAATTAAAAACCCTAGCCGCCTGCCAATCCCCAGACCATTTACTTGGGATTAGCTCTCGAGAGCTACTTAACACTCTGGCAGAAGCCAGCGCCACCCCCAGTCACAGCATAATGATGGCTCAGGAGTACATGGAGCCTCACTGGGTGCCAGGTGGGGCTCTAAATGCATCACTTGCCTTATCTCCTGTGCCTCTCAACAAACCTGCAAGACCAGTCTTCATATCATCCCTGTTCCACCCATGAGGCTATGAAGGCTCAGAGAGGGCTGACAACTTGCCCGAGGTCACAGAGCCAGAAGTGGCAGGGGCAGGATTGGAACCCAGGTCTGTGTGATTCACCAAGATGCTGATCTGACAGTACCTGGAGTTTTCACTCCCCTGTTTTGTTTGAAAGTGTAGGTCTCACAGAGAGATCGGTGCAGGCATCCGGGCAGCACTTTACAGTTTACAAAGAACTCTGGGACTTATTGTCATTTAATTCTTATAGTAGCCTAAGGAGGTGGGCATGGACTTCCCACTTGCCAGAGCGGGAAACAGGTTTGTCCAGCTAGTCATTGACTGCCCTTGGATCAAAACCAGATGCCCTGTTCTCAAATCTAGTGCCCCTCCCCTGCACCTCCTACTTTACTGCCAAGGCTGGCGGTGTGGGCTCATGGGCAGGGGCTCTCCTGGACCCCATGGGGAGCAACACCCAGGCCTGGCCTCATGGCATTCCTGTTGAGGCTGGTGGGGCTGCCGGGGAGGTAAGTGCCACTGTGGGTTCGTGAGGAGTCCATGTCTACCAGGGGCTGGGGCAGACTTCTCAGGGCTTGCTTGTGCCCTGAACATAGGACAGGAGTCTGAGGATGTGTCCCAGGCCATGGAAACAGTGCAGTGTTATTACTGGGGTGGTGATGCTCCTTGGAGCCAGCCTTGCCCCATCTGGATGCCCTGTCCCAGACCATCAACATTTACCCTTCCAATTGTGATTTTCAAATGAATAAACCAATCGGCAGCTCAGGAAACCTGTAAAGCCTCTGTTCCCCCCTCATGGGAGCGATACCATCACCTTGCCCACCTCACAGCCTGGCCACCTCTGACTCATGTTTCAGGTCTCAGCTCTCATTTACTCCATCACTCCTTCCATAAGCATTATGTGTCAGGGTCTCCCAGACACTGGGGACACCAAGTCCCTTCTTTCTGGGGCTTATGCTCTGGTGGAGGAGACGGTAATGACACAGAAGCAAGGGTGTGGGGAGCAAAGCAAGAAGAACCAAGCGAGAAGCAGGGAGACCCACATTCTGGGCGAGGGGTGATGGAAACCGGGGCTGGGGGTTGGGGCAGGAGAGAAGGGGCTGGATCCTGGACAGACTGTCGGCAGGACTTGCCGAGGGATCAGCCGTAGGGGGAGGGAGGGGGCGGGCACAGCACCAAGCCTTCTGGCCTGAGCATCCGGGGGCCTGGTGCCATGTGCTGAGCTGGGGCCGACCTGGGGGGACTAAGGAGTGCTGTTCCTGACCAAGTGGGTGCAGACGCCCGTGGGTGCCCACACGGAGTGGACGTGATCTGGAGCTCGGGGTGGGGGGCTGGGGGGCTCTGGGAAGCCACATTGGGTGGGACTGTAATCCCGGGAGCAGAGCAGTCACAGAGGAGCATAGACAGACGAGGAGATCTCTGAGGAAGGGGCCTGGGAGGTGCCAATGTTCAGAGGCCACGAAAATGTGGGTGACCCAGCACAGGGCCACCAGGGGATCCTAGGACCAAGGAAGGAGTGTGCCATGGAGGAGGGAGACCTGCTGTGTTTGATGCCCTGCGAGGATGAGGACGGATCAGCAACGGAGGCTGCCTGCTCCAGGGAGCCAACCTTGACCCCAGGCTGAGTGTGAGCCCTCGAACCTGCTCTCAGGACAGGAATCATCTGCCTCTTCTGAGTCAGTGGCTCTGGCTTTGATTCATTTATCAGATGTGCTGCTGGCGTCCTCCATGCCTCCTCCTCCTCGGCCCTGTCCTCCCGGCCCCCGTGGCTGGCTGCCGGGCCTGTCTCTGGCCGGGGCTCCCACTGCATGCTTTGTTCCTGCGCTCAGCTCATGGTTCAAACGCTGGCCATCCAGTTCTGGGGCAGCATCTACAGGGACCACATCCGAATTTGGATCCAGCTCTGGGGAGCTCTGGGAACTTCTCTGGCAACACAAACCCAGCAGCAGCTTCTGGCCTCCTGAGTTCTCTCTCCTTCAGGACCAGGTTCTCACAGCAGCCCCTCCTCCCTCAAGTGCAGGGAGGGACAGCAGGAAGTGTCCATGCACTGTGCTCCCACCAGGGGTCAGGCACCAGCTGGTGACTCGCAGATGCAGTCTCTTCCACCCTTTTCGGGTAAGGGTGTGGATCCATCCTTATCCCCATTTCTGGAGGAGAAATCAGACTCGGAGAGGGTCGAAACTTGACAAGAGGACAGGGGCTGCATCTGTCTTGCTTTCCTCTGTGTCTGGCACTTAGCCCAGTGCCTGGCACACACTAGACACTCAACAGCTATTCCTGGAAGGAGAGGAGGGAAGGCGGAGGGAGAGGGGCGGAGGAGGCGGGGTCTCCGAGGCCGTGTGGCAGGAGGAGGAGCTGGGATCTGAGGTCAAGCTGAGGCTTCGAGGTTCACGCTCTCCCGTCCTCCCTTCGAGACTTTACTGAGCACCTACTCTGCACCACTGTCTCCCTGGCCTCTCAGGACACTGAGATCCAGTCATTAAAATCCTCTTTTTGGGGCTTCCCTGGTGGCGCAGTGGTTGAGGGTCCGCCTGCCGATGCAGGGGACAAGGGTTCGTGCCCCGGTCCGGGAGGATCCCACATGCCGCGGAGCGGCTGCGCCCGTGAACCACGGCCGCTGAGCCTGCGTGACCGGAGCCTGTGCTCCGCAACGGGAGAGGCCACAGCAGTGAGAGGCCTGCGTACCGCCAAAAAAAA